TTTCTAGGTTGGAACTCTGCTAGATTAGTTTCCGTCCATTGTCCTGCCTTCAGGTGCTTTGGAAAATAGGTGACCCCCGCTTTTTTATGGCAGCCTCTTAGATATTAGAAGCATGCTATCATGCCATCCCTAGTCCTTCTTTTCATTAAACTAGGCATTCCAGCCAAAATAAAATCAATATTAGCCCTATTTATTTTAATGGGAGGATAAAGCAGATAATTTATTCTCCCACTGAAAGTAGTAAAATGAAAGCAGTTAAATTTGGTGGCATTGTTCCTAACCAGACTTTATTTCTCATGGATTAATACAAATTTATTCACTCTACTCATCAGGGTAAGTTTCCTTCTTACAGTAAAGACTCTTGTCAGACCTCAAGCATAATGCAAGCCTGCTATTTGCAAGCAGAGATAGTAAACAATTTTGTTTCATCACTGGCAGAAAATGTCACAATAGCTAGTCTTTGCTGCTGCTAATTCTCACCAACCCAGTGAACTCCAGCTATCTACAATCCTAAACTCCTTTTAACTATTCAAGCTGTAGGGGGGTAGAATTTTGCCTTTGTAAAGTTACCCAGCAAGTTAACAAATGCCACATATTTTTGCTGGACATTGCTAGCAGCACGACAAGACAATATTCCAACTCCTGGAAGCAAATCCTTGTCCTGGTTTCAAGAAGTTCAGGAGTGAGTTGTTAGAGCCATTTTGTGTTTTTCTCTTTGGATACAGTAATTTGATTCTGCAGTTCCTCAGATTTGCAAAACAGATCTCAGACCTCTTTAGAACAGAAGAATACTTGGAAATCCTTTAACTCAGGGGTCCCCAACCATAGACCGGCACCGGGCCGTGGCATGCCAGCAACCGGGCCGCAGAAACAAGTGAAGCCCCATCTGCTGGATGTAAGTAGTACATGAAACCACGCCCCCTCTGGTCACGGAAAAATCTTTCTCCACAGAACCTGTCCCTGGTGCCCAAAAGGTTGGGGGCCTCTGCTTTAACTAGCCAGGAGCATGGACTCTTCTGACTAGCCAGATTAGGAGAATTAAGTGCACTTTTTTTTGCCCCTTCTTGCCTTTTACTTATCAATTGCTGCCTAAGACTGACACTCTGGCTCAAGATAAGGAGCAAGGCTGCCCTATTTCCAGCTCACTTTTTTTGCCCTTACTGTTGATAACAGGAATTATTTTCAGAGATTAGAAACAGCATTTCAGGACAAATAGCTTGAACCTGCTCATAACTGCTTAAGTTATTTAATTTTTTAAAATATTTGTTAAAAGATTAAAAAGGGATAAAATTATTAATGTTAACAAAAAAACAACTGCATATCACTGAAAGAGGAAAACAATATAACTAATAAAATTGTACAATATGTATCCAGTAAACGTGTATAATCATATTTCACTGGGTGTTAGGTTTGACATACTTTTTCTTTTCATGCAACATGCATGGTTAAACTTTGTTATTCCTACACAGGCCTCCATGGAACAGGGAGAGACTATATATTACATAGTTAATGTCTAGCTGAAAAGAACATTTCAACACAGACTTCTCTGGTTATAATAAAATTCTGTCAGCAATAACAGAGTTAATAGTACAATTCCCCATTGTTCAGCTGAATCAATAAACTACATACAGTAACAAGATAGAAAATGTTCCGACTTCAGAAGCAAAGGCTTATGCCTGCAGGGGACATACACTGGAGAAAGAAACATTATTTACAATAAAAATTTTGTTCGAGCTCAGAGACCAAGACCTTAATCACAAATGTGAATCTACAAGGATTTACTTTAGTCTGCTAAGTGCTAGCTCAAGCCTACCATCAAATATGGCATATTTTCAGAAAGTCAGTACTTGCTGTCTTTTCACTTTCAGAAAATAAAGCAGTTTTGCTTGACATTATAATATGACACCAAAAGAATGCAGGAGATTTTGATATTTGTATAGGTCAGTTGCTCCCCTTGAACAGAAGCAGGAGCAGTCTTAAACAAATAGTATTTCATAAAATACCAAAGGCTATTCATGTCATATTCAAAGCAACTGGTGCTCGCCATAAGTGACAATGGAATATAAAAATGGATTAGGCAAGCCAAGGATGATGATGATGATGATGATGATGATGATGATGATGATGATGATGATGATGATGATAATAATAATAATAATAATAATAATAATAATAATAATAATAATAATAATAATAATAATAATAATAATAATAGTAAAGTTGGAAGGGACCTTGGAGGTCATCTAGTCCAACCCCCTATACCATTTCAGACAAATGGCTGTCCAGTCTCTTCTTAAAAACTTCCAGGGTTGGAGCATTCACCACTTCTGGAGGCAGGTTGTTCCACTGGTTAATTGTTCTAACTGTCAGGAAGGTTATACCATTTTCCCCCTAATCTTTGTACCTTCCAGAAATTTTTGACCAGGGACTCCATCATCCACACAGAGCAGAATCACAAGGTACTGTGAGATGAGTAAATTATATAAAGAGGATACCATGAAGGAGAATATAAAATAACATTTATTTTTAAATGACTGTCAATATTGTTTAAGTGAAATAAAAATATTTTTCATGACATTTTATCTGATATTCTGCTCCCTTGTAACTTAGAATTCAATATGACTTTCCCCCACTTCTTGGCCATATACACTTCTTTTTTATATACAGCAATTTCTATGGCTGCAGGTACATGGAACAGCCACCTGAAAAATATTATGACCAGACATGTATCCATCTTTCATGTTGTTCACAGAAAATATTTATTAGAGAATGAATAGGACAGATCATGTGGGAATAAAATAGTAATGTATTGACTTTAATGTAAAGAATCACAAAGACTGGTTTCTGAAAGGAAGATTTTTCATCTCTGTCATGTCAGTCAGTCTGATTGCATTTTTGACATGAGGTGTCCATATATAAAGCTGTGATTCTCAACCTTGGCAACTTTAAGGTAAACTTTGACACCCAGAATTTCCCAGTCAGCCATCCTGGCTGGGAAATTCTGAGAGTTCAAGTCCGCAGATCTTAAAATTGCTAAAGCTGAGAGACACTAGTGTAGAGTATTGACCTTCCATAAGAGCCTAAAGATCAGGCTCTGCCAGTTGGTCTGAGGCCCCAAGAGGTGAGGGGGAGTACCATGTTGGAGGTGGTTGATGGACTAATAGATCCCACCTCGCCCCCTGGGCATCTTGCTTGCTGTCCTCCCATTTTTAATCATAATTTTGTATTCTTTTAATCATAATTTTGTAGTCCTATGGTTATGATTGCATCCCTTTTAATATTGCAAGCTTGCCAGAGTTGCCTTATGGTGAGATGGGCAGCAAATAAATTTAATAATACAGTATATATTGTAGGCTCAGCAAAATATAATCTTCAAAAATAATTCTACAGAAAACAGTAGAATGACTGAATTCACAGAACTGCACAGTCAAAACCAAATGCCAGTAGTAAATGCCAGTCATCAATGGTAGCACTCTAAAACAACATCAATGTACAGTTTTGAAATTCTCTGACATGTAAAGTTGAACACTTTGTTTTAATATTTCAAACAAGTGTATTTTGTTTGATGGTTGTTTTTAAAATCATTTTGATACATCGCTTTGGTTAAGCAAATATTTATTCTAGTTCAGAAATGAATTAGTATAGAAGAAAAAGAATCAGTGCCATTTACAATAAAAAAAATTCCTCTTTCCAATAGTTGGCTTACATACATTTCTTTTCTTTTTTGGTGGGGTGGTTACAAATGCTTGTTTATTAAATTTATTGAGACTTTTTTTTAGAAAGGAAGTTTAGGGTTATTCAAAATAATGATAGGCATTCTTAAATTTATGAACTTCTCAATCAAGACAAATTAAAAATGTCTACGGCAACTTTTCTCAACCTAATGTCCTTCAATTTTGTCATAATTGTGTCAGTTGTAGTACAAGCTATCTGAGGTGCACAGACTGAGAAAGGTTGTTTCTTACAGGCTGATCACAGAACAATTAAAACTTGCTGAATTCTCCCTATGCAACAAAGTAATATGATAAAATTTCAACAGTATTTATACACATTTTGACACAGTTAGCAGAATATCTCTTTTTAACCACTTTCCCATACATTTCTACAATATGATAGTTTCTCACACAGATACTAATTTCTGTATATATAAGTTCCATGCCATTCTTATTTTGCTGCTCAATCCAAAGTCCTCTGGAAGGCAAAATGTGATAAGAATTGGAGGCATGACTGGCCCAATCTTACATTTCCTAATCTTTCTCAGATAATCTTAGATTGGAGAAAGAGGAAGACGATCCTCTTAGCCGTTCTACTCTGACCAAAGATAATGTGTGGAACACACTTTCATAGTGAAAAAGATGGGATGGGATCTACCACCCGATATCATCTGACTCTCATTAAGTAAGTTTATGTGTGAGAGAAAAGTAAATGATGCCTATGATGGCATACTGATGTCAGACAATAAGATATTTAAATAATATAATGCATTTATAGCATTCAGTTTGGCATGGTGCAGCTATTCATGTAGTACCTGCATTAAAATATGTGTACCATACAGTATAAAGAATGTTGTTCATAAACTATGCAAATCACGCAATACCTAATAAAACACCAGGTGATTTATATTTATATTGATGCTCATTATATTTACATGTTTAACATTTAAATAAATTTTCCAACTAGATTAACTTTACAAAGTCCTCAATTAAAATATATGAGAATAAGTGTATGAAATTAAGGCAGTCATTGCTAAACAAACAAAATCAAACTAAAAACCAAGGCTTCCATTAAGAAAAATCTAAACTAAAAATAACCTAAACCTTGCACTTAAAAGTTTTTGATTATTTATACTTGGTTTGTAAATACTTAACCAACATTTCCTTACTTAAAACAGGACAATTAAAAAAGACAAAAGTTCCCAAATAAGAATATATAAACATATACTTTAGCTAAATTTAATTTGGGTCATCAATGTTCAAATAGAATAATAAATTGTGTCCTACCTATGGTGGTAATAACAGTCCCCGCAAAGAAGAAAGAACTTCCCAAATCCCAGTGACTGACTTGATTTGGCATATTTCCTTTAGGATTGACTCCTGCATTTATTGCTGCCACAACTTGCTGAAAATTTAAAGACATTTTCTCAGTATTTATGAAATATAAACAAAGATATTAGAACATACTATTCCATATACTTGTGAAAATAATCTACCTGTGAGATTTAAAAAAAAAAACCAACAGCCAAAAAAAGGGGGGGAAACATCTTACAGTACATTGAAACTGCTTCAGTTCCAAGAATCTGTGATCTAAGTCTGAAATATAATTAAATGAAAATTATTGAACTCGCTGAGAGATAGCAACTGTTCGTGGCTAAGGGTAGCCTTGAATTGAATCTCCTGAGTGTTAGTCTTTTACTTTAAGCAATTTAGCACATTGGCTTTTCCATATTCTGTAACTGGTATATCATTTTGAATCAGCAATCATTTTAGGATTAGTAAGTCTTAATCTTATCACGAATCATGGATTAAAAATTAAAATCCTGACATCAACGGTTTCAATCCTGAAATAAGCAATAAAATCAATAAGCACCTGCACACTAAATTTTATTCATGCGCTGAATTCATGAATAATCATGAATAAGATAACACATCAGCTGTGATATAACTTGTAGAGAAGTTAATAAGAAACAGAAACTATTGTGGTTTTATGTATCAGATAATCACTTCCCCTACTCAAATTATGAATGTTCAGAGAAAAGATTAATAATTCTAACAATCAGCATAGATGCTGAAGGTTTGTATCCCAATAAAAATGCTTTGCCTTATTTTTCGCAAATAAGCATTCCATTCAATGCAGTTGAAAAGTATTCTAAAAATAACTTTGACCTGCTAACATATATGTTAATATGAGGGGTCGTTTGTGCTCTCTGAGCTTACTTGTTTACTTGCAGATGTTTCATTACCCTAACTAGGTAACATCATCAGTGCTAGTCATACATGTTAATACCTACACATTTTGAATAATCTATATAAATAAAAATGTAAATGTTCGTTTGTTCAAAATCTTAAATCTCCGAAAGTTCTTCACCGATTGCTTTGAAATTTTGACACAACGTTACATTCGAATATGCGCATGTTTTTATATACCTATATTATATAGATGTCATACCTGTGACAGGTAAAAACATGCTTTTTTTGAAAAACAGCGCCATCTGTTGGACATAAAAGCAACACAAACATGCGCTTTCTCTTTTCTTTCTTTTCCATTTAACCAGACTGAGCCACAGCAACGCGTGGCCGGGTACAGCTAGTACATAATAAAGCACTATGACACTAGCCCCTAATAATTAAAATATATATTTGAGGTCTTATTTGGCTACTGTCAGAAACAGTGTTTCTCAACTTTGTTGACTTTAAGATGTGTGGACTTCAGCTCCTAAAATTCACCAGTCAGCATACTAGGGAATTCTGGGAATTAAAATCCACACATCTTAAAGTTGCTAAGATTGAAAAACACTGTGTTAAAAGAATCCATAGCATGTTTACTCAAACGTTCCTTAAAAGAATGAGCTTTAATTCTGGGCTAAGGATTTACAATATTGTTCTGGTGGAAGGATGGGATAGAAAAACACAGACATCAATGCTTTTTACTGTTTTATTATCACATAAGTACTGGTGTTTGCTGTTTATGCAAATCTTTACTTTGTCAGCAGATATTTTACAATCTAAAAGTTTTACATATTATTTTAGTGAATCAGTATTTCCATCTTGGTAAATGCCCTTTTTTATGTTAAATCCCATAGACCTGGCTTTAGCAGAACAGATTTCAAAGTAAGTGCACACTGAAATACAATCACATATTTGTGTTCCTTCTAGAAGATGGCAATGACGAACAACTTTTATACTGTTGCAAATACAATCTGTGAATATATCCCTGTAATTACCTGACATCAGGCTCAATCTGAGTCTTAACGATTTTTCATCCTAAAATACTGGGATCATACCCTGGGAAAGAAGCCACTGTTTGGCTACAAGATCTACTAACTTCAATTAAAATGATTAACTTCTGAGTACAGACCCTATGTACCCAAACTTTTTATAGTCTCACTGGACTTCAACTCATGCGGGCTGGGAATTCTAGGAGTTAAAGTCCACACATTTTAAAGCTGTCAAGGTTGAGAAACACTGCTCTGTAGTCTGCCCAAATTACATTGTTAAACTGCAGGAGCATATGTAGTACTGTCCTTCAGAAAAGTGTCCATCTTGGCATTGTAGTCAGCTGTGTACAAGATAACTGTGCATCTTCCTTTATCAGCTGGCAAGTTCACACAGAAAGATGTTAAAGAAAACAGTCTGGCTTTTCTAGACTGTGCAGTGCACATTAAGGAAGACAGAAGCCTTAATATTGAAAGTTACAGAAAGCTCCCACACAGAGATCAGTATTTACATTTTGATTCTTACAACCCACTGGGGCACAAAATGGGAGTGATCAAAACCCTACACCCCTGACTGAAAGTTTGCCAACCAGTAAAGAAGGAAAAGAAAAATAACTAAAACATGTCAAGGAATCCCTCAGAACTTGTGGTTATCCTAAATGGGCCTTCATCAAATCCAGAAAAAGTTCTGGCAAGAGCTCCTCCATTATAGACAAAGAAGAGAACAATAAATGTGGCAACATTGTCATTCTAAACATTGCAGGAATATTTGAAAAGCTCAGGAGAATTTTTCAACCAACACAACATACATGTATACTTCAAACCCAAGAATATAGTAAAACATAAGCTTGTCCACCCCAAGGATAAAACACCCAGACAAGAACTGAGCAATGTGACATGTGCAATACAATGCAGTGAGACATGTGCAGATCTGTACATTGGTGAAACAAGAACCTGGCACAACCTAGGAGATGAAACCCATCAGGACAAGATTCAGCTGTTTGAAAGACAAAGGCCACTCTTTTGAAGATAACAAAGTCCACATTTTGATTTGAAAGATGAGTAAAAGAGGCCATTTATGTTAACACTGAGCAGCCCTCTTTCAAATGAGGGAGAGGGGTAAGACCCCACCTCTCTCCAGTCTACAACACAGCTCTTGCAACAATGCCAAGAAGATTCCACAACCAATTGCACCCTGAGGGGAAAGATAAACCCTCAAGTGGTCTCAAGAGCTCTCACAGAGAGTGCTAATGGATCAGATGACTGCAAAGAAATACAATCCTTCCATCCCCTCTCCACCATCCAGTCAGAATCTATCCTACATCCCTCCCACCATCACTAGCACCACAACTGTTCTTCTTTCTCAAGGAAAAGTTGTCTTTTGAAAAAAGCACTTTTGAGATGACAACAATAATGATATAATTTTCAGATTTGCGCCTATCAACTTAAAATGAAGTTAGATTGTTGGTGTTCTTGTAAGGCCTGTTTCAAAATACAGTCATGGTCTTATGGAACAGGAAGGGGTGTCTTTTGGAGCCACCTGTACTCAATAAAGTGTAGCTCTCCTAGTGCACCCTTATAGAAACATGTAAAAATCAAGCTACAATGGCTTAAGGATGAATCAGTGAGGAGTCACCAGTTCTGGAATGTTTTTTTCCCCTGATCAGCATTTTGTGTTATTATATGTTGTTACTATATTGTTTTATCAGGTTGGATATTGTACATCACTTACAATCACAGTCAGCTGAGGTGATAAATAAAACCAGTAAATAAGCAAACTTCTTGAGGGTTTTTTTTCTTTGACAGTCCAGTATTATCTTAAAATATAAGAACACTTAGAGCAGACATGTCAAACTTGCGACATCACGTGACATCACGCAACGTATTGGAGCTTTTTCGCCATTGCCAGCAATGGAGTGGGCGTGGTTTCCCGATGACGCGTCTAGCCTGCAGGCTGGCAGTTTGACACCCCTGACTTAGATAAACTAATTAGCAAGGCATTTTACAGACTAGTTTCAGCCAGAGAAGCATAACTTACTTCATAATATTAGGAACAAAAAATGGATGAGGGGATATGTATTCATATGATATGGTCAAATTAATCTTCCATATTAACATTAGATTGTTAATAAAACAATACAAAAATCATTACAAGTTAAGGAGATGGTTATGTTTTTTAATTACATGCTCAACATTTCAAACTCATTTCTATGAAGAAATCTAACTTTATCAAATCTGAGGCACAGCAAATAAGTTCATGTTCAATATTGGAAAAATAGGGCTATTCCAGATTTAGGATCTCAGAATGTGCCTGCTTTCCATTTATAAGCAGGGCCTTAATGGATGTAACAGATGAGCTGAATGACATTTTCATACTGTCAAGGGCTAATATTTTTTTACTGAAAATTAAGCAGAGTTATATTTAATACAATATATTGGGAAAAGGATGTTTTATGCACGTTTTTTCCTAATTTTATATTCTTTTTTCTGTTTTATATATTAGAGCAGTTTTTTAATTACTTGTTTCATTCCTTAATTCAATCCCTCTGGTATATAGTAATATTAACTACATTATCACTTTGACTGATACATATTTGCCCAGTTTTTATAAATATTATATAATTAGAACAGAGTAATTTATCGATTGTTACATTTATATGATGGCACATTTATGACTGGCAGATATTTCCATATAAACACATATTATAGCATTAGTAATATATTACAGTCATTTCATATGGAGCATTATATATGGCAATTGCTATAAAACTACTCAATTCATTCTGGCACAACACAAGGGGATTTATTTAATGTATTTACATTTACCTAACATTTATCTTTGGAGTTCCAACATCCCTGGGAAAGTAGACTACATAAATAAGATATCAGTACATATGTTTTTCTTACTGTTATTTAAGTAAAACTGCATCCTGAACTTTTCCCCAAATTGAAACGTATCAGCTATAAGTTATATTGGGTACAAACAACACTGGGATTCTGAAAGTTGAAAAGGTTGAAATCTGAACATGTGCTATAGATATGTAATGTTAAGAAAAACTCACCTAAAAGAAAAGGCACCATGAATCCCTTAGCAGACCCAAGAGATTACAAGAGACTCAACAAGATGGAACTTGCTCAGAAATAATCTAAATGCTAGATTCAATTTCTAGATTATACAATTAATGGA